TGCATAACTGGGTGCACATTAGTGATAACTTTTTATTTGGCTCAACCTACCAACAGACTTGTAGCAAACCCATTGTCCAAATTAAGTAAAATTTGCTCTGTTACATGAGGTAGAATTAGTGCAGTCCCACTTGTTATACCATCTCCGCTCCAAAATATAAGTTTTAATCTCTACTACTTAGAAAGTAAGGTCCCATCTTTTACTCGGTTTTCTCCCCACCACCCCTTCGTCCAACCTTCCACCATCCACCGATTTTCCCTGGTTTTCCATCCCCTTCTGGCTATCAGCAAACCAATCTTTAGTAACTCAATAAACCAGATCAATCTACGGTATACAGCAATAAATTGTTTCTTATGGTAAAACCTGATACCGGTCAGCCATCTTTGGTAACTCGACAAATAGCAATAAATTCCTGGATCGTAGACAAATAAATATCAATCGATATCTTATCATGGGCACATACCTATTTTGCCAGTTTAAGAAATGACAAAAGAATTACGCTTTATATATCCAAAGCATATTTTTATTTTGTCTGTGTTTTGCATCAAGATTTGTCGCATATGGTCGTCTTACTGTGTTAAAAAATATTTGGCCCCCATGGCAACGCACAGGCACATACTTAGTTTGGTCCAAAAAATGTAAGTCTTTCTACACACTCTGTATACTTTTGATATAGGAATAAATGAAGGGTAGCATTATACCTATAACCCTAATTTTACCAACTTTAAATGGTCTACATTTTGGAAGGGATGTAGTATGTGTCACAATTATAATTGCATATGTCCAAATTTGAGTGAAACAAAAAGACTGATGTATGGAAAATGTAGAATGTAACAGAGAACAAAATAGGATTTCATAAACTTTTGATAAGTGTGCTGAAAGTGTAAACACCAGAGCCTTCATTATTCAGTGTATTTACGAGATTGCAAACAACTCAAAATTTCTACCATACCTTTGAAACTTAAGACTCTTAACTTATCAACTCACAAGATGTATGTATCAAGAAGAAACAAATAATGTAAAAAGTCACATTTAAGGACAACCCAGTAAACAAATGTAGCAATATGTAAAATGAGAAGAAAAAAATGTCGGATAATTTCTTTTTCTTTGGTTACCTGAGCAAAGAACATTTCTCTAGGAGGAATTTTCATGTAAAATCCAAGCTTGTAAGATGCAAGAATCTCAAGACAATAGTCAATATTTATTGAGCAGTACAGTTCAAAAACCATATTGGCCAATGGTCGTCCAGGGCACAAGTACCCAATGATGATATGTGATAGCAACTCAGTCGATGGGTTCTACAGAAATTCATAAATACATCATAATCTAGTAATAGTGGGAGTAAATGCAAAAAATAATGCAAAAGCTGTCACTGTAAATATTCAAGACAAAATAAAGGACTTCGATGATTTTTTTCTCAATCCCACGTATGGTTATATAATGTAAAGAAAAAAAAAGGGGCAACCTGGTGCATGTAGCTCCCGCTTGCGCAGGGTCCAGGGAAGGGTCCGACCACTTTGGGTCTATAGTACGCAGCCTTTCCCTACATTTCTGTAAGAGGCTGTTTCCAGGACTTGAACCCATGACCTCATGGTCACAAGGCAGCAGCTTTAAAGGTAGTTCCTACATTTGGACTGGAGCTTCTAGAATATTTGAATTCAACCATATAATGTAAAGAAATGCCAAAGAATTCAAATATTCTAGAAGCTCCAGTCCAAATGTAGGAACTACCTTCTCAATAATGCTCTGTTTCAAAACAAGTTTGTGAAACTTGAAAACAAGAGGTGCTCCCTTTTAAATGGAGCTGCCTTAAATATATTTACTGTACTTAAAAGCTACCTAAAACAATTATATCAAGCCATATTTTCTAAATTATTTAGACAGGTAGATTTTGAATTTTGTGTTTACGATAAATATGTTAAGTGGACATGTTCATTCTTAGGTAGCAACCTTGTACAGTATCAACAACGACCAATAGGACTGGGCCGCGCACACTGCGCGCCCAGCATCGCTTCAAGAAGAAGGCCGACAGCCATTGGACCGAGCGCTCCTTCGAGGTCAGCGACTCCATCCTCCTCAAGCTCCAACCGTACGCCCAGTCCTCTGTCGCCAACCCCCTTGTCCAAAGCTCGCCTACAGGTTCTATGGCCCCTTTCAAATCAAAGACAAGATCGGCCCCCTCACCTACAAGCTCGCCTTACCCCCGGGCAGCCGCACCCACCCAGTCTTCCACGTATCGCAGCTCAAGCTATTTACCCCCAACTACATGCCGGTCTTCTCCAAGCTCCCCCGACCGCTGGAACTCACGACGAGCGTCGCCAAGCCGGATGAAATCATGGAGCGCCGCATGATCAAGTGCGGGAACAACGTCATCGTTCAGCTCAAGGTGCACTGGACCTCACCTGATACAAACGCCATCACCTGGGTAGATTACGACACTCTCGGAACTCGATTTCCTACCGAGAAAATCTGGCAAGACGCTTCAGCAACCGACAAAGAGGGGCTTTGTCTGAAGACGAGGGGAGTGTCACACCTGCACCCCTAGTGATGCAGTGGACTAAGAATTGGCTTGGCCCTCGAGCCATGTAAGTGTGGGGCCCACGGGCAGGTCCGGTGCGTGTGTTATTTAGGTGTGCTTCCGAGGGAGATGGATCATGTGTTGTATGTGAACTCTGAACTTCACCTGCTCCTCTGCAATCTCACCTCCTTCCTCTCCAAGTCGGCCTCACCTACTCCCTCTTCCCTTCTCCCCTTGTTCGATCTGTTCTTCCGATCAGGTCGTTACACAGTGTTCCTTGGGTGCGTGATGCCCCTTCGGGCATCCACAAAGGTAGTGTCAATTGTTGTCTTCGGACTCTTCACATCATGCAGTCATCATCTTGGGTGTGTCTTAAGTTGACTCTAGATGAAATGTTAGCGTAAAATGCCATGGCATACAGAGATGATAAGGTCAAATCTTAGTCCAGCTATTAAATGATAGTCTGCCTCATATTCCATCTCTCCTCCCTCATTAATCATATCAGCAACTATCCTATGTGACAGGATTAAGAGTCAGCTGACCCTTATAGTGGCAACAAAAGAGGCTAGGAAGGTTGGCTTGACAGCCAGGCAGCTCACTCTAATGTGGAGGCTGATCAAAAGAATTCGATGGCCCATTGGAAGATTAAAATTCCCTCCAAGCTGTGGGTGTTTGCATGACAGTTGCCTAATTAGAGTATAGGTATAAAAGATGCAAAAAAAAACCGGTAATGTGAACACATGAGATGTAGGCATGGAGGTGAGTAAGCTACCTGAGCAACGGTGGCCCGGAGTGCTGCGCAAGGTGGGACGAACAGAAGTACAAGCAAGCATGCAAGAATAATTCCCCAGTAAGGAAGCTGGAATTCATTCCCAAACCCTTCACAGGTAAACACTGCCAGACCAATCATTGGTAATAGAAGAAGAATAAACCACCACACAGGAATGCTTTTGTACTTATCCATCATTTGCACATGAACATCACGACTGCCTCGGCCATCAATTGATTGGTTTAATTGGTTCCAAAATGATCTACAAGCACACAGATAGTGAAAGCTCATTATGAAATGTATGATGCCTGCTACTGAGAGAAACTGGCATGACTGTGCTTTATCATTGTACGTTAAAGTAAAATAGACAATTTGAAACTCTAAA